GCACTTCTCTAATTGGTATCCTGGTATTCTATCATCTATTAAACACTTTTTGTTACAGGAGTCAAATTGATGTGAAAAGTATGTAATTGCCTATTAGACTAATTAGCACAGTGCCTCGTTTAGCTTCTCTGACCTTATTACCATTTCTTGCAGCCACCAGGAGTCACGCAGAACAAAAGCGGACGGTGCTACACTATGAATTCCTCTCAGGCGTCTCACAGCGGATTATTTGTGCTCGTATGTTTTTGTGAATTGCAACCAGTTTACACACATTCTCTAACTGCACACACATCAGCTGGAAAGCATCACTCGTGTCCACAAGAGCCTGGAAGTAAACAGCCATCATCCATTCACCGCTGCTCTGTTAGTGGGTGCTTGATATCTGCAGATGACGATAGACACATATATGTTTTAATTATTTCTGTTAGGTGTTGGATGATATGAAGGTTTCTTGTTACGATAATTCTGATACACGATATTATCACGATTATCATGAATATATTTAAAATTGACACCAAACTGTGGTGGACTGCCACCTGTGAGCTAATTATTCAGTAGTAAAACAATCCTAGTTCATTGTGGCTGTCTTATTAACTGCTTACTTTAAAAACAACAACAAGAAAAAGTCATCACACAGAGCTTTAAACCGTGCTGGTACGAGCTGTGTGCTGTGGAAGTTAAAGGCAAAACCCAACAGGCACATTCTGCAAACGTACCCCCCCCACACACACACACACAGAAGCAACGTTAGCACGTGGCCTTCCTCTCAGCACAGGAACGACGCTCGCGCCCCGTCAGCTGAGCAGGTTGAGAGCAGAGTGATGCAGTGCTATTGATATCTGTGGTGGGAGACCTCGCCTTCACCACGCCCACACATCGCATGACTCCCTGCTTCTTCTTAGCACACACCGGCTCACGCATACAGGGTCGCATTCATTGGCATGCATGCACACGCTGCCTTTATTTATAGAAGCTTGAACGCGCACACACACACACACACACACACACACACACACTGACTGACTCGGCTGTGCTGGGTTACATAACGGTGGCCTACTAAAGCAACGCGGCACGTGACCTGCGTGAGATGATGTTGAGCTCTATTGAGGATTAGGCCCGCCATCCTCTTGCTCCATCTCTCGCCTATACACACATGTACAAACACACACCCCTCCCCCGACTCAGACTGACATCACTGCAGGCCTCAAGGCTGCTCTCATCAGCCGGTTGCTAGGCAACCCTTTCGTCCACAGGCACAACCAACGCACATTTAATCTGGCAGGCTAAGAGACAGGGATAGAAAAAAAAATAAAAAGAAGAGAGAAAACCCCCCCCACAAATGTCCAAAGGAGAAAATCTGATTCCAACATAGTGAGGACGAAAGGGTGAAAACAAAGAGAGGAAGAGGAGATTGTGCACAAAAGCAAGAGAGCAAAGGATGGAGAGAGAGAGGGCGAGAGAGAAAGAGAGCATGTGTGAATCTAGGCCATCTTCTGTGCATCTCAGTTGCCATCTGTTTGACGGTCTCAGAAGCAGGACCACCTTCACCCTCCGCAGGCCTCCTTATATGACGAGGTGCTCCCCATCTTCACGTCTCTAGCTGCCCACAACCTTATCGTCCCCTACGGTGCCTGGCAGCCCTCGCCAAAGAGTAAGTAGTGCAAAAAAAAACAACCCTCTGAGCACGGAGGCAGAGACCCCGGTGGCGTACGAGTGAGTGGGGTTTAAACTCCGTCTGACATGAGAAACACACACACACACAAACCCCTCAGAGCGACAATCGGAAAGATTGGATCACGAGCAATTGAGTGATTTTAGTAGGAAGTTCGTTGACGCTTTAGGAATGAGGGTTGAACGCTGCCGTCACATCAGGGCAGGATGGCATTTGATCCCATAGTGAACCAGTTACTGAAGTGAACTAAGCCAATCAGACCAGTCAACATTCCTTCACCTCACACACAGGCAGCCATGAGATTGTGTCACTCTGGGTAAGTACAGGAAACATTTCCAAAGTCTACAATACAAAATATAGTAAATAGCAACGGCAGACCTGTAAATTACATTTACTTTATGAGCTATCCAGCTAGGGACAACTATGATGAGTTTTTGCCTTAAATGTGGGCAGGAATACTGAAATAGTAAACCGAGTTTGAGATTTCTACACAAACCTAATGCCTCATGAAAGCAGACACTCAAACCACAAATTGCAACGAAATTGGAACTAAAGTCTGTGGGTGTTTAGTCTTTGTCATTTAGCAAATTACACCACCATCCATTAATGCAATTTCAGGTATCCGTCTGCAGACACGTGTTCTCATCATTCAGTGAAAGAATCAGAATCACTCTGGTTCCACCAAACTAGCTCCCGAAAGTAAAAATCTTCCACAGATATTGTCCTTCAACAACTGAGGATATTTTTTATCTTTTAAACGAGGTTACAAATCAGTGTTGCACATGACCTTTCAAGTAAGTTGAAAGGTTACTGGATTATACATCCCATTTATACTCTAACTTCATGCACTGATTGTTGCAATCTTTGTCCTCTCATTTAGGCTTGCAATTTCAACATATACGATCATATAGAAGGTGTCAGTGTAGTGTAGTGCTGTCGCTTGTATCCATTTTACCAGCTTCACGGTGGTTCATACCAATCAGCGTCCTTTGAGGAACTACTGGCAGCTACAGCATGAGCTACAGGCCTAGTTTAATGCTAGGTGTGTGTCACAACATTGGAAAGAAGTGACCATCACTCACACTATATATGCAGATGACACTGAAATATATATATTTATTATATTTATGCTGCTCTTTTACTGAGAAACAATGCTACAGATTGGCTGTGTACTATGCTCAGTATTTACTATTTAGGAGTTGTACTAGAAATAGTTGACCAAAGTAGTACAAAGTAGTAGTTTTTTCTGGCAGTACATATCTTAACTTTTACATGTTACTTACTGATCTTTTGGTTACAGCCATGGCATTGAGCCTACCTTATAGTTGTGTTGTTTCTGTGAATATGACCCTTTAGAGGACATAGATGCTCATTTGTGTGGAGAATATAACTGCTGGATGTGAACATGGACCTGTGTTTGTCACCATGGTTTAGAGTAAGTAGGTACGTAACAGTCCAGGCACCTGGGGACATACAGAGGTGTTTTTTCTTTTAATGACCTCTTGGGGTACACAGAGGTCCATCCCTGTCTTCCAAATTAGTTAATGTCCCTCAGCTGAAACAAAGGTTTGCATAATTGTTCCACTACGGGCTGAAGTATTTTAACCTTTTTCCCTTTTACTTTTCATATTTTTCCTCATTTTAATCAATCTTTCCTTTTCCGTTTGCTATAAATGTATAAAGTTTGCCTTGACTTGACTGCTCTGTTATGTTGATATCTGTGAATTCACAGCAGCATTTTACTGCCTCGCTCTCTTACGCAATTCCAGAGGCCTCTTTTAATGGTTGCTATGAAGCTGACGTAAAAGTTTTTTCCCAATTTGCAGCTCATATTTGCAATGAATCTGAGTCACATGACCTTGAAATAGCAACAGAAACTACTAAAAGTGTCTGCTTTCTTGAAGTCATAAGAAACTTCACTGTGCAAAGCAATCCTCTGAGCACAGGAAGTCATTGCAAATGCATGGCTTGGGGGGAATAAACAGTTTACTTTGAGTGGCTGCCAGCTCCATGATACCTTAGCATCATAAACCTACTAACGGCACAAAGAGACGACCAGATAGTTCTTCACTTTATAGGCAAAGCAACTTTTTCACCAAAATGGCAGAGCAAGAGAGTTAAAATGCATAATGTCGCACTATAATCACTGTGCAATTAAACACGATGCCATCGTAATGAAGTCGTAAACTAAGATGATTCATTATGCATTGTTTAATTTATTCTTCAACTAGTTCTTTGCTAAATCACCTATTTTAACATATGGCAGCATTTAAAAATTAATTCAGTATCATATCTAGAAATCTCATAATATAAGTATACAGCAAAGGGCTTCAAATCATTTCTACTCAATAGGAGTGGCATATCAAGTGTGAAGTTTCTATTTTTCTTGAGTGACCCTCTTCATAAAAATGTGTCAACACTAGGGTTGTGCGTCTCTCTCTCTCTCGGCCTACAATACATTCAGGGACGATGCATTTTCATATGGAACAATTCAGTGCGATCCGATTCAATCTGATACCGTTCTTAACATTTGATTAATGTAGACATTTATTTTCCATTCTACATTAAAATAAGCCAGTTTTAGCTAAGTGACATTGCTTACTTTAAATACATATATTTTCTAAAATGCCAGGGATTTTCCAAGTATTATTTTCTTTATGGGAAAAATGGAAGACAGATGTCTCATTTCAGAATTACATGTCATTGTGTTTTATGTGTTTTTCCAACAGACAAAGACAAAGATACTTTCTGATGTGAGTACCTTGGACCTCGCCCAATTAGAGCTAACTTGTGGCTGGAAAGTGTTCAATATCTGTTTCTGCTTGTGCTAGCTGTATTAGCATCTACAGACTCCTCGTCGCATACATAGGTGTCACCGTACCGTCTCACCAGGTGAGTCATTTGCAGTGCTCCAGCTGAACTTAACTGCTGTCTGACAGATCTTACAAATGGACAGAGTTTTGTCCGACTTTCCTTCCTTCTTATAGAAACCAAATGTCTTCCAGACTTTAGATTTGATGATGCACTGTAAATCGTGTCTACGTTGTCAGACATGTTTGATTATGCTTTGATTATCCGTGTACCGATGTAGAAGCATTTATAACGTTAAAACCATTTTCGACTCGTATCGATAAATCTTTACACCCCTAGTCAACACACAGACAGACAGGCAGACACCAACATGACAACTTAATTTTCTTTAACATGCCAGTGACAGATACAAATGAACACATGAAATGTGGCTTTGGGCTGACGTGACAGCAGCTGATGAAACCTACCTGTGAAGATGGGAGACACAAAGGGCATGAAGAAAGAAGAGGTGAAGGAACTACAGGAAACTGGAGAAAATGGAGATGAAGATGGAGAGGCGAGAGCTGAAAATGAAATGAGTAAAAGGTGTAAAGGTCAACAGACATGACTTTGAACTGCAGCGAGGATGAAAATGAGGATAACATGATAGTATGTGGCATGAAGCGTGAAGGAGGGCAACAAGGCTGGACCTAAGCAGCTGCCCCGGCATCTCATTGTAATTACCGCAAATGGTCGTCACCGTGTTGATCTAACAATGTTTATCAGACACAAACGCCCAGAAGGAATCAACTCTTTCCCTCTGCTCTCTACACCTTTCTGATGATCGATGGGACCATTCATACAAAATGCATGTGAGCAGTGAATTATTTATTGTGCTTTTTATTTCCCTCTCATACAGGAGAGATGTGAGTTTAAAAAACCATGAGCTGAGCTGGTTCAGGTGCCGGGTCCATCAAAACGTTGTCCCACTTACAGCAAATGTGACTCCTGGATGTCCTGAGCAAAAACATGGAGGAAATCAATCTTATATCAAATGTACACTCCCTGAGTCCTGCCTATCAACAAGTAAACAGTGTTCACTTTCATATTTAATGCTTATAGTGACTGATATGAATTTAGGCTGGTCGTTTGTGCTTCCATCCAAGTCCACATTCAGTTGAGAAATATGACTTGTGCAAAAACAGATAAAAAGGGAGAGAAAGAGGTGAATGGTGTCTACAAATGTGCCACATTATGAACAGAGGATTCAACTCCCCTGAGTAATTATTTTATCAGATCTTTATGTTACAGTAGTTTACCCATGGATCACGACTTAGTAACACACAGACCTCACAAACAGCTACCACAATAAAGTCAAAAATGATCAACATGGTTGACTACAGCTAGAAGCTACAAGCAAACGCTGAATTATCCAGCCCTTTCTCCTTTCCTGTACTTAGATATGCTATGTTCTAGGCTTGTCTCTGTTCAAAAGACATTTTGAAGATGGTTAAATAATAAAAATGATATATATTTTGCTAATGTTAAGTAACCCTAGCTAGCTAATTAGCTAATTATTTACTGACATTAACTATCAGATTTAACTTGCTGATAATTAATGTAGATTAGCTACTTAGCTAGTGTTTTGGTCTGTAGCAAAATGCTATCTAGCTAGTTGTTAGCTAGACTAGCTCTTGTTTTGTTAACATTAGCTAACATAAACTATGTGACTATGTGGCTTTTACCTTTTTAACCATCTTGAAATTTTGATTGTCTTTTCAACATACAGCAGACTAGCACAGTGATTCTCAACCTTTTAGATGCATGACCCCTCCAGAATAATCAGGTTGGTGTTCACGACCTACTACCTAATTTGTGATACAGTTTATATAAAGGTCAACCCACAATAAAGCCTTTGAAGAACCTTGGGTTGATTATGCTTCTATAAACCCTTAACCTGACATACAAGCACACCCCTGGAACCTCATACATACTGCGCACAGAACTGAAAACAACCAGCTGAGATGTATTGCTCTAGACCTCCTAACCTTTGGTTGTTTGCCGAAAGTTATAATCAACAAGATGCAATTGACCACCAGAGGACAGAACATGAAGAACTGTTTACAGAAAACCAAACTTATGTACTGTAGAATCAATGATAACCAAAACTGCCCTGATATCTATCACAAAGGAGCAGGAAGTAAGACGTAAGTAAGAAAAAGGTTTTGTCGTATCTTGGATCCTATAATAGGCAGTTCTATAATTTGTATTCAACTCTTACAAGTTACCCAAACTATTACAATAAATGATAAAGTAGAAGATAAAAGAATGTCTGGGAATAAACCAGATAGCAGGTCATAGAAAACATGGGGCATTAAAGTACTCAAAATAAGAACAATTGAGAGAAAATGAACTCGGTAACTCTGAGTCATGAAGGACTTATCACATACCTTGTTCCAAAGGCCCCCCTGGTCCCCGTGGGGGAGTCGAGGCTTTCTCCTGGCTTGGCTGGCCTGTCGCGATTCATTTGCTGCAGAATGGAGCTCAGCTCTGTGATAACGGTGTTCTTGGTGTCTGGTGTGGATGGGGGGCTGCGCAGCTCAGGGGGCTGATCACCCCACAGCTTGGATGTCCTTTGAGTAGGAGTCCTAGGAGGTTCAGAGGAAGGGGGAGGGGGAGGTGCCTGAGGCGGTGACCCATAGGACTCCGGGGGCTCTTCAATGAGAGCATCATGATAAAGTGATGTTCTGTTGATGACGGACTTGCCCTTGGGTTTGGGTGGCACAGGGGGCCGATCCACCAGGAAGGCATGCCCGTCTGCGGTGGCATAGAGGCTCTCCAGAGTGCTGTCGCAGAAGCCTCCCTCTGACGACAGGGTGGAGATGCTGGAAACGGTGCTGGTGGTCTCCATGTGCTGAGGATCCCCGCTACTGCGGCTATCAACTTCTTCGATACCCGAGTCACCCACCCCTGACTCTGGGTCAGGTGGAGGAGGAGGATATGAGGGGGGCATGCTGTTTGACACTCGTTTGTGTTGATCAGTGACAGGTGGTGGGGCGTGAGCGTGGTATGGGGGTAGAGAAGGTCCCCCATTTCGTCTCTGTTGCTGAAGCATCTCTGCAATGGCACTAGCCTGGTCATCAGGAATGTCAATACTGTTGGCAAACTCCAGAGGTGGGGGGAGGGGCTCTGTGAAGTCAAAATCCTCGTCAATGTCAACTGAGGCTAGAGGGGGAGGGGGGATGCGGAAGGGCAGCTTTACTGGTTCATCCATGGACTCGCCTAAAGGAATACTCCTCCTCCGTGACGAGGGTGGCTGTGGATTGGCGGACAGTGTTGGAGCTTTTAGAGGATCGGGTTGGTTGGGGTCTTTCAGCTCAGACGGCCTGTTGCTGTCCTGCCCCTCCTCTTGGTTGTTCACCTTGTTGCTTGCGTCTGTGCTGGTGTGGACCATCAACAGCCCGGCTAACTTGGTGTCAGCCACATCCGCAGGTGCGCTTTTCCTCTCCTCAACTGCCTGATGCTTCCGCTCTTCTCGTGCTCCATCGGACTCATACTTCTGCTCCGTCATCTGCCTCCGCAGGCCCCCTCGACCAGGCCTCCCCATGGTCGCGGTGGAGATCGCAGCAAAACTTGTCTCGATCCCAGAGCGTAGTTTGGTGTCAATAAACAGCGGTTGGTTGAGGTCTGGTTTGTGGCTTGGCTGAATTGGGAGGGACTGGGCTTCATGCTTGGGGGTTTGCTGAACCTGAGGAGGATTTTGTGACTGATTCTGAGGATGGTTTTGTTGCTCTTTCATGGCCCGGTCACGAGCTGCCAGGGCCAGAGCTAGTGGAGAATTAGGGTCCAAGGGCTTTCCGGTGACAGGATGGAGGTAGGTCCCATTGGCCCTGTAGTGGCTCTTAGGAGGAGTGGATGGGAGACTAACAGGACTGTCCAGGTTGGGACACTGGCCTGTTCTGGTGTTTAGAGGCTCCCGCACCACTGTGGGCTCAGGAGTGTTGAAATCTGTCATGTTGCCACTACCACCCCCAACAGGGGGCCCAAGCTGTGCCGCAGGAGGGGGAGCCAATATCCTTCGAAGCCGCTCGTCGCTGCTGAACATGCCTTCATCAATGGACTTTGACTGGCGAAGACGAGGGGTTGGCGTGGGACTACTGAAGTCATCATCCCCCATGTCTATTGACTGGAAGGCAATTGAGTGTTTTTTTGCCTCTAGCCTCTTCTCCCGGTCCCGTACTGCCCCGGCAATAGCTGCCGCAAAGGGGTTGCTTAGAGACATAGGGTCTTCAGGACGCAAACCTCCACTTCCACCAACAGTGGGTGTGAGAGGTGGGTGTTCAGGGGTGGTGGGCTCGATCTCCATACTGCTACCCTGGCTGCTCTTGCCACTGCTGCTGGTGGAGGGCTCCTTAACGATTATGGTGGGGATGGGTATGGAGGAGCACGTTCGTTCTACAGGCGTAGTAGGCATGGAAACTGGGCCCGAGGGGCTTGCTGGCATGTGACAAGTCTTCTCTGGACTATCCTCAACATTGGACTGCTTTACTAGCATGCCCTTCCTTCGAGCTGGTTTCGCTGGCACATACAGTGTCTTATTGCCCACCTCGGAGTAAGGGTTCTCTGGCACTGGTGTACGCCCTCGAGTGCGCGTGCTCTCAAAGTGCTCTGAGCTCTGCCGGAAATAGCCACGCCTTAACGTGCCAACGTCAGTGGTTCGGCTAATGGTCGTCACTGCATTTGGAGAGTTCTGGGTGAAGCTGGGTCGTGTCGTGCCGTAGCTCTTGGGTGTAGGGCCAGCAGCTGAGTTGTAGGCAGGTGGCGAAGGGGGTGAAATGGCTGGGGGAGGAGGGATGTCCTCTGAGGTGTCGGGCATGGAGAGACTGCGGGAGAACTTGAGTAGGGGAGGTGTGAGGAATCCCTGTTTCTCATCCTCCGATGTACCTTGGTGAAATGGAACAGAAAGAAAAACTATGTGAGGACCTGGGGGAGACATCCCTATTTTTTATTTCCAGTATGGCCTCTTATGTGTATGTGTCATTTATTGATGTGAGCTCTTTATTTATCCAAGCAGGAGGTTCCTGAAATTTGTGAGAGGCCAGATATATAAGGAAATAGATGATTATAAGATGTTTACTGCCCCAAGTGGGAATATCTTGTTGAGTTAATTTGACCAATTACTACCAACTAAAGTCTTGGAAAAGGAAATAAGTACAAGAATAAACATTTGAGGCGGAATGCTAAATCAAAATTAAGAAGCGTACCAATGAAGTTGTGTAGATTTAAAAGGTGTCAGGTCAAATTATCTCAATTAAAAGACCTAAATAGCTCAAACAAATTTACATCAATACAATCAATTTTACCTTGTATTTTTTCAGAAATTGTAGAGACATTAAGATCAGCCTTGTGGTATCTAGAGGTGGACAGATCTAACCAGGGAAAGTCTGCAGAACACTTTTCTTTACTTTACTTACTTATAGTTACACCCTAACTGTGAAAGTTGAGGGAGGAAGTGCCTTGCTCAGGGGCACTCATTCAATGAGTGGCACTATTTAACTCTCAGAAGAGAGCATTTTCCCAGAGTGTCAACAAACCAGAACATGCTAAAAGTGCTTTCATTGCAATTATTTCATAAAAAATACATTATTTTTTTTGTTATAATAATGATGGCATTGCAAATCAAAAGAGCTGTGAGTAACATTAGCCTGCATGACGTCCCTCCAGTTCAGCAGTGAGAATGAGGTTTCAGCATATGCTTAATGACCTCCAATATTATCGCCTGAAAGCACACTTTGCTGACTGGATCATTCTAATTTATCTATAATTAGCTTTAATATTGCTTGAGCACACAGAGCAAGCCTCTGAGCATTAATAGAATATTACGACGAGCTAAAAGCACAAGGTACTGGATGTGCAGTTCACAACTCAGGCCGACATTGACATGCCCTCCCCCTCACACACACACACTCTCACACA